AGACGGAAGGCATGCTTCAAGCGTTTTGGACGTACGTACACTCCGAGGGCCAAACATCGACTCGGACCACTATCTTGTTGTAGCCAAGATACGCACCCGCCTCTGTGCAGCAAAAAATGTGCGCCCAACAATACAAGGAGAGCTTAACATCGAAAAGCTGCAATCACAACAGACTGCAAATTTATTAGCCACTCGACTCACACACCTGCTCTCTGAGAGCACTCTTCAACAATCTGACATAAGCGAGCAGTGGAACCACATTTTCCGATCATTAAGTACCGACGCCGAAGTGGTAGTTGGACTTCAGCGAGCTGGTACGATGAGGAATGTCAAGAAGCCGCAGAGAAAAAAGACACCGCCTAAAGGGCTACGATCGGGAGCAACGCGAGCCATGTGGACCGTTATAGGGAACTGAAGAAGGATGCGGTAAGAGGGAGGCCGAAATACATGAATGCGAAGAGCTTGAAATGCTAGCCGAGAGGAAAAACGTCCGAGAGTTAGGCGACTGATGGAAGGTTCCAAGACCAGGGCGAACTCCTGTAAGAACAACAATGGCGACCTAGTAGAATGTACTTAAATCATGGAGGTAGTGGCGTTTAAATTAGTGAAGATTACGAACCCGAGCCCACAGTCGTGACGATGGAGAAGTTGATAAGATGCATGCATCAACTCTTATGCAGAATATGGTCAGACGAACGCATGCCCGACGACTGGAATTTAAGTGTGCTCTGCCCATTCCACAAGAAAGGCGATCCCGCCATTCGCGCCAACTACCGCCGAATCAGCCCTCTAAGCATAAGTTATAAGGTCTTATCGAGTGTATTGTGCGAAAGACTGAAGCCCACCGTCAACCAACTGATTGGACCTTATCAGTGTGGCTTTAGGCCTGGAAAATCCACCATCGATAAGGTATTCACAATATGCCAAATCTTGGAAAAGACCCACGAGAATAGAATCGACACACACCATCTATTTGTCGATTTCAAAGCCGCTTTCAACAGCACGAAGAGAAGTTGTCTTTATGCCACGATGCCTAAATTTGGTATCCCCGCGAAACTAATACGCCTGTGTGAAATGACGTTGACCAATACCACCGGCTCCGTCAGAATAGGGAAGGATCTCTCCGAGCCGTTTGATACCAAACGAGGTTTCCGCCCTGGTGTGTGATTTCTTTCATCTGATGTTGGAGAAGATAATAAGAGCCGCAGAATGAACCGCTCAGGCACAGTACTTTACAATAGCGTACAATTGCNCCGCTGGCTTGGCCATGTCGTTCGAATGGACAGAAACGCTCCAGCTCTGAAAGTATCAACGCAGCNCCGCAGAATGAACCGCTCAGGCACAGTACTTTACAATAGCGTACAATTGCTGGCGTATGCCGACGATATCGATATTATCGGTAAAAATAAGGGCCACATCTGTTCTGCCTTCTCGGGATTGGACAGAGAAGCAAAGCGAATTGGTCTGTTGGTGGAGGAGGACAAAACGAAGTATCTCCTGTCATCACACAAACAGTCAGAGCATACGCGTCTTGGCACCCACGTCACTGTTGACAGTTTAAAGTTTGAAAAAGTATACNATTAACACCAATAATAATGTCAGCCTTGAAATCCAACGGAGAATCACTCTTGCCAACAAGTGCTACTTTGGGCTGAGTAGGCAATTGAGAAGTAAAGTCCTCTCTCGTCGTACAAAGATCACACTCTATAAGTCACTCATCATGCCTGTGCTGGTGTACGGCGCGGAGGCATGGACAACAAAAACCTCTGATGAAGCGGCTCTTGGAGTTTTCGAGTGAAAGATTCTGCGAAAGATTTACGGACCTTTACGCGTTGGCA